CCCCAAAACCCCAAAACCCCAAAACCCCAAAACCCCTTAAAACTCTTTCAAAATTGAATACTCATAAGTTTGCCATGAAGCAATTATGTAGATTATTAGACCATCTTCAATTCTGCACCCAAGGCAGTCAACTTCTCGATAAGTTCTTCAGCCTCTTCCTTTTTCACTCCTTTCTTAAGCCAGAGAGGAGCACCTTCAACAGTCTCCTTTGCTTCTTTCAGGCCGAGGTTGAAAAGAGCTCTGATTTCTTTGATGAGTTTAATTTTACTTTTAGCTTCAAATCCTGACAACTCAATATCGAAGGAGTCTTTTTCTTTAGAATCTGAAGATTCTTGTTGCTCCTCTTCTTCTTCACCACCTCCTTGGGCAGCACCATTTCCTCCCCCAAAGGTTCCCATTAATGGTCCAATCTGGCTCATTAGCTCTTGTTGTTTGAACCAGTTTGGATTGAGAGGAGGAAAAGAACCATCAACATCCATTTTTATTGAAGACCAATCCATATTCAATTTCAATGGGTTATAATCTGTGTTTCTTTTAACTTTTTCATAGACTACTCCAGACAGATACCTTGCTTCAAATGGATTAAATTCAAGAATTCTATCTGCTAAAAACTCACATTTCCTCTTAGAAGGCTCTGAGAGTTGGTCAGAGAGCTGGCTCATTCTATTATCATCAGAGACCCTTGTAAGCTCTTCCCATTCCTTCTGATGCATAACGACTTCATCCTGAAACTTCTGTCCCCATGCATCTCTATACTTCTGTTTTTCTTCCTCCGTAATCTCTGCATACTCCTGAGCAATATCCTTCTCTTCTCCACTGAACATCCTCACTGTTCATGTCCATTGATTATTTCTCAAAAATCCTAATTTCTTCGAGCCTACAAAATTTCAGTTAAATTTCTTCGTAAATTTCTTGAAAATTTGAATTTCCTTCGGGACTTACCATTTGAGCCTGATTTCAGGACGAGTCTTCCTGCAAACATATTTGTTATAAATTAATTTACAACACAAACTTATAAAAATGGGGTTTTGGGGTTTTGGGGTTTTGGGGTTTTGGGGTTTTGGG